TGCCTGTTCAGACAGAACTTCCTGTGCTTCAGTTTGTGCCCATTGCCCCTTGTCCTGTCGCTGGGCACCACTGAAAAGAGTCTGGCCCCGTCCTCCTGACACCCACCCTGCAGATATTTATAAGCATTTATTAGGTACCCTCGCAGCCTCCTCTTCTTCAGGCTGAACAAGCCCAGCTCCCTCAGCCTCTCCTCGCAGGAGAGATGCTCCAGTCCCCTCATCATCCTCGTAGCCCTCCGCTGGACTCTCTCCAGTAGCTCCTCATCTTTCTTGAAGTGGGGAGCCCAGAACTGGACACAGTACTCCAGATGGGGCCTCACTAGGGCAGAGTAGAGGGGAAGGAGAACCTCCCTCGACCTGCTGGCCACACTCCTCCAGGATCAGGCACCTCAGACTCACCATGACCCCCTCCCTCACCCGTGAGCACTCCCTGCCACACAGAAGGCTGGAAAAAACCCAACAGACCTGTAGACATTGTTGTGGAAAGTGTTGTAGCTCCCCAGCGCGATCAGGGACCCCAGCCCCAGGCCGTAAGAGAAGAAGATCTGCGTGGCTGCATCCATCCAGACCTGTGGAGAAGGAGCCAGGAGAGGAACACGGCGGGAGGGACTCCACGCTGCAGGCACATCTCCTGCAGCAGCGCAGTGCATGGCAAGGGAGGGCTGGGGGCTCGGCCATCCAGCCCGCTGGGGTGGTCAGGACATGCGGGCACCCTGTCTCTAGGGCCACGGGTGCCCCTGTAGCTGGTTGCTGACCCAGGCTCCAAGGAAACATTTTGGACGGTGGCTGGGAATTTCAGAGAAGCCACCTTGAAACCTGTAGCTGTGTCACTGCCAACTGGGCTGAACTTGTCTGAAGAACAGACTTTTTTCTGTGCCTTTCTGAACATCTGTCTCCAGGGCTAGAGAGCAATGCCTCCCTGAAGAGGAGGAGGAGGAGGAGGAGCAGGGCATCTGCATCCTTCCCGCGCCGCAAGCGCATCGAGAGTGCAGCCTGGCCCAGCACCAGAAGTGCATCCCCAGCCCTGTAAAACCCATGCCTCAAAGCTGCTTCCAGGGACAACCAGGGATGGAGGAAGGGTTGTGCATCCCATTTTCTGAACCTTGTCCCTCAGCCCCTGGTGCAGGTCAGAAAGGACTTGCGCATCATCTGGATTCATGTGTGTGTGCGCTCACGCCCTCACAGCTGCCCCTCGAGGGCTGCTGCTTCCCTCGGGCCCCCACGTCCCATGCTCACCCCCTCCATTTCTCTTCCACTTGTGTGTCTTTGATTTTCCAACATGGAGTTTCTTGTGCAAACAACTGCAGAGGGCAGCTTGCACAGCTGGTCCTGGTGCCTTAAGGGCTTAAAGCCTAGAAGGCACCTGAAAAGGGGGCAGAATGTTCATTGAAACAACCCTTGTGGTCTCGAGATCCCTGTTTCCAGTGCTGGAGCCAAGGCAGCTGGCAGCACAGTCACAGTGAGTTTCCTGCAGGAGGGATCGTTGTGACCCCCCCGGGGAATCATGGGTCTCCAGTTGTCCTTGCTCACAAGTGACTGGTGACCTCTGGAGCCGTGGAAGCATCGTTGCTGCAAAAGGCAGAGTCTGTGCTGCCTGGAAAACTTTGCCTTTGCAAGCCTCCGTGCTCGTCCTGGGTCCCCTCTGTGCTTCCACTGACCAAGGCAATGTTACCGGCCACCACTCATCATTTCAGCACTTCCAGAAACCGCTTCTGTGTGCACTGTCGCACTTGTGCAGCTTCTGAGCTCTCCACGCTGGCAGCAGCTCTTTGTCCTTTCTGTGGGACCACCAGATCAAGACCTAATCACCAGCCCTGGGACAGTCAGTGAAATGAGGCTTTCCCAGCCCACAGGAGACGTTCCTTTTTCTGGGGTAATTTCTCAAACCCCCCACCCCGTGGATAATACTGCTCGAGAACAGCAGAGCTGCTGCACGGATTTCCACCCACGAAGGGCTTGCTCTTCAGCTTTTTCTCATGACTCCTCTGTGAGGGTCATGACTGCTTGAGCGGGCAAACACTCCATTTTCTTTTTAATACCTAAAATACTCAAGGAAAGTGCCCGGGGAAGACGAATGTGGCAGTAACCGGGAGGCACGAGCTTTCCACACCAGGGTACGAACCTCAGAGTTGGAGAGCTTTCTGAAGTCGGGCGTGAGGTAGAAGAGGATCCCCTCCTTGGCTCCCGGCAGTGTGACTCCCCGGAAGAAGAGGATGAAGAGCATGAAGTAGGGGTAGGTGGCCGAGAAATACACCACCTGCGAAAGGCACCACGGGAGAGAAGCCCTCAGCCTGCCAGTGCCCAGCAGCTTTCCTGCCCGCGGTGGGCTTGGGTCCAGCGAGTGTCCCTGTGAGGGGGAACAGGGTCCCCATGCACCACCGCTTTTGGCAGCGTTTCCTCATGTTTTCTGTTTTCCTTTCCCGTGCTGGGAATGTTTCTGGCTGCTTGAGGTTTCTCTGCCAGTGACACGCAAGGACACGCTAATGGCAAAAGTAGCAGGCTAAAGTCTGGGTGAATTGCCCAAAGACAAGGGAATTGCAACGGGGATAAATGTAGTCTGCGGACGTAATCCTTTTAAGTCACCACATCCTTATTTTGCAGAGCTAAAGCTGGTGTTTCCCTAGTCCAACGCGACAGGCAACATGAGCCGTCTTCACTCCGCTGCTTGCTTTTCAGCCCCGTTTCAGGGACTCGCAGGTACGTGGCACCCCTCCTCACGGGGCCCGTGCGGGCAATCACCGGGGCTTTGCTGCGGCTGCGTAGCTAAAACCTGTTTGAGAGCCACCGGGGAAGCGAACAGCTTAGGTGACCTATGCCTGAAGCGCTTCCTTCTGATCCCTCCGTGAGATTATTCCTTTCATAATATTGTCCCGCGACACCACGCTGTGCTGTAAATAACACATCTCAGCAGCTCAGCGTTGCAGCTTCGCTAAACGAAGCAATTACCTTTCCGCTGAGCTAGCCTGAAACGCTGCGCAACGAGTAACAACGTGCTTCTGATCTGGAGGTCTCACACCAGTACCTAAAGGGCAGCAGGAAAATTTTCGAAAGAGATGATGATGCCACCAGCAGCATTTGAACAGACCATGATTTTCAAGAGGAGGGGGAGCCCAGAAGACGCCTCGCTCTGTCAAAGGGCTGTCCCAAGATGGGAAACCTAAGGAATCTCTGAAAATCTCTTCCCAGGTTCTTCAGAGGAACTGAGTGCTCAGACCCCTGACATTACAGGGAAGAGTTATTCTCTACACTTAGAATGAAAATTACCATAAACGTGGAGGCAACTTTTACGACCGTGAAAGGTAAATGCCAGAACTTTAGTAACAGCTCCTGAAATTCTGCCTGGAAACACCACAACCTTAGTTATAGGCACTCAAAAAGAATGGAATCCGCAGGACATTTCACCAGCCGAGACCCGAACGCGGCAATGAGAGGAAGAACCACAACACCCGGTCCTCCA